TTGGAAACTATGTTAATGTGGCTCAAAGCAGTTTTATAATAAGCAGGGAGATGGCAGATTTGACTAGAAGAGTATTAAATATATTTGAACATATACATAAGGAAAATTTGAAAGCTAGTATAATAGCATCAGACATTTTCAAAGCTTTTGACTGTGTGGAATGGCCAACTATAAAGACATTGATAGAAGTATTGGAGTTTGGTCCACAATTCAGAAATATAATAAATCAATTCTACTCAGAAAACTTTGCAACAGTGATAGTGAATGATGGTATACCAGACCAAATATTCCTAGGCCAAGATTCTAGACAGGCTTACCTTTTCTCTCCAATAGTGTTTGCTTCAACTATAGAACTGCTAGCGAATGGTATTACAAATGATAATTCAATAAAAGGTATAGGATCTGAGAATAAAATTAAGATCAGCTTATTTGCAGATGATACATTATTAACAGTAAAGGAACCAGCTAAGGTTATGGGTCAGATTAAAAAACATTTAACAGAATTTGGAGAAATGATGGGTTTACAAGTAAACTGGAACAAATCAGAGACGATACTATTTAATTGCAGTAATGTAGAAAAGGATGAGATTAAGAGCAAGATAGAAGTTCAGATAGTAAAATTATTATTTAGGTGTAAAGATTACAAAAAATTTGCAATGTTTAAAACAGAACCATTTTGATAAGTTAAAATAAGACATGAAAGAGAAAATGAATGATTTTAGAAAGATTGGTTTATCCTGGTTTGGTAGAATAACAGCATTTAAAATGAAGATTTTACCTAAGATTAATTTCTTGTTTATGATGTTGCCATTTCAGTTAACAGAAAAGATTTGAAAGAATAGCAAAACATGATTAATAAATTTGGTAATGGGGACAAAAAAGGAATAATTTAAAACAAGATGGTACATGCCACAGAAAATAGGGGGTTTAGTTATTCCCAATGTGAAACTGTATTATATAGCTAATCAACTGGGGCATATACCAGATATTATACTACATTTGCCTAAGATAATATGAGGCAAATTAGAACATCAAGATGTAGAGGGATCCTTGTTAAATATTTTTTCTTTATTTTGGTTCCTGACTCCGAGCAGAGCAGAGCAGAGCAAAGCCGAGCAAGCTGCCCCAGCTGGTCTTGGACCTCTGGGATACAAGCAGGTGAGCTGTCAGGGAGTGAGCAACCAGAGCAGGTGAACAAGGAAAGCAAATAAGAGTTTGGCAGAGGAGGAGTCCAGTGGAAGAGGAGACAAAGGGAAAACAGAGACAGACTTTTGTTTTTCTAAGAGACAACTGAAGGGAAGTTCCAGAATAGCTGGTTGCTGATTAACTGAAGGGGAGTGGCCTGATCAGCTAGCAGTAGTTGTGTGGGTAGGGTGATTCATTCTGGTTCCTGACTCCTGGTAGAGCACAGCAAGCAGCCCCAGATGGTCTAGGGCCTCTAGGATACAAGTAGCCAAGCTCCCAGGGAGAGAGCAAACAGGAGTTTGGCGGAGGAGGTCGCTAACATTTTCCTCCTTTGTTTCTCTTCTTTATTTCACCTTAATTCCCCTCCCTGCCACATGTGCACACACACTTGTTTTCTTCCTTGTAGGAATTTACTAGTAGGACTGTGTTACTAACCTTTGGTGAAGACATTCAAAAGTACCAATTGTTACAACAGCCCCCTCCCTCAAGACAGGATCACTAAAGTTACACAAACAATGGACCAAGGAGACTCCACAGTGGTGGTGGACCACAACAACAGCAACAGCTGCATACTAGCCCTGTTACAAGAAGAGGTGGGAGCATTGGAGCAGTGAGTGTCCACCTTCCAGATAATAAAAGAAAATAAAAGGTTTTAGACAGAACAGAGGAGTTGCAACAGCTCAGTCCAGAAGCAAGAAGAGCATCAGCAAGCTGAGGCGGCAGAAGAGAACCCTGAGGAAAGGGAAAATGATGAAACTTGCTGGAACAGGGTGACAGTTAGATGCAGAAGACCTAGAAAACACTCTGCATCCAAGGAAGCAGTGGAACTCTCGAACCGCTTCGAGTTAATTGAGGAAAAGACGTGTGAGAAACCCACTGTGAAAGAACTACACGACACACTGGGTAACTCTGAAAAAGAGACAAAAGGCCAATCAAACAAGGAAAAGGATAGCAAAGTTTGCAACACCAAAAAAAGAGTGATAAGTTGTGGGAGATTCCCTGTTGCATGAGATGGAAAAATATATATGTCACAATGACCCAGAGAATCGCCAAGAATGCTGTCTTCCTGGCACTAAGATTAAAGATATAACTGTCAAGTTCACACAACTCATACAACCCACTGTCAAATACCCCTTCTTTCTCTTCCACGTGGGAACTAACAACACTACCATGAGAAACTTTGTTGAACTAACATCAGACTTCAAAGCTCTAGAGAGGAAAAGAAAAACCACTGGGGCCCAGATAGTCTTCTCCTCAGTCCTACCAGTACGTGGAAGAGGAACTGTTAGGGAAAGAAAAATCCTTCAAGTGAATGACTGGCTACAATGGTGGTGCCATAAAGAGAGATTTGGATTCTGGGACCACAAGCTAAGCTTCCTGGAAGATGGACTACTGGCAAATGATGGGCTGCACCTCACAAGAATGGGACGCATGAGCTTGGCCACTACATGAAAAACTTCATCAGGAGGGCTTTAAACTAAACCATATAGGGGAGGGAGATGTGCAGCATGGCATATCATCACTTGGCAAAGACTTCTATATTTCAACAGAGAAAAAACCTCAAGGAGGACCCAGTCACATTTACAGATGATACAAAACTGGGTGGAATAGTGAACACACAAGAAGACAGAATGAAGATCCAGGGCGATCTTGATGAACCTGAACACTGGGCTGAAAGCAACAGAATGGGATTCAGTGAGGACAAGTGCCAAGTCCTCCACCTAGGAAAGAGAAAACAAATGCATCGAAACAAGATGGGGAAAGTGTGGCTCATCAGAACTGAAAAAGAAAAAATATCTCAGAGTAATTATTTTTATTTGCCCGACATTTTAATATTTCTATTTTTAACTGCTTTTACTGTCATGCCTAGTCACATTTCAGCTCATTTTATCATATTGGTTCTACCTCCTCTGTTTAAGTATTGTTTGTTTGATTATGTTGTATGCCATCCTGAGACACTGTTATGACTGGGGTAGAAATGTTGTAAGTAAGTAAGTAGTAAGTAAATAAATAAATAAATGTGCACAATAGGCTAAGTATGAGCCATTGACTTAGCAAAACCAGTATCAATGTTTTTTCATCAATACTGGCTGAAAGACTGAACAGTTTTATAATGAATTATATCCACACAGTTCAGTATGGTTTTATTCCAGGTAGACATATGGCTGATGCAATTCAAAGAGTGCTAAATATTATATATACAGAAGCTAAGGAGAAACAGAAAATAGCAATATGCTCACTGGATGTGCTTAAAGCTTTTGATTGTGTAGAATGGCAGTATATGTTTCAACTTATGGGAAAAATGAATATGGGTGACAGTTTCATTAAAATTCTAAAAAGACCTATATGAAGGAGCATTGGCTAAAGTATTGATCAATTGGTTAGATTCAGAAATATTTGAGTTACACAGAGAGACTAGACCCATGTCTCCCTTAATATTTGTTATGGTCATCAAACCATTAGCTTCTAACATAAGAAGAATAATATTATAGGCATAACAATTCATAATGTACATAAAATTAACCTTTAAGTAGATGATATACTCGTTTTGAAGGACCCAGTAAAAAGCATAGAGCCTTTAAAACAAGTATTAAAAAATATTAATGGTTATACAGGACTAAAAATCAATTATCAAAAATATAAATTATTATGCATAGTCAGAACAAAGGGATATTAAAGTGATGTCTGGTTTAGACCTGTGTTATTCTAGTTTTAAATAACTGGGAATTTGGTTAACAAACTGCATAAATCAACTGACATATAGAAATTATAAATACACACATAACTCTATGAGAGAGAAAAGAAATGGAATAAATTAAAATTAACGTTATTAGGGAGAATTGTGATGGTTAAAGCTCATATTCTACCAAAAATTTTATTTTTGTTCCAAAACCTACTGCTGCAAACAGAAATGAATAAGTTAAAGGTGTGGCAAAAAAAAAAAAGAAAAATTTATCTCAGGAAATAGGAAAAATTTAAGATTTATAAATACTGTGAAATATAATGCTGCCATGGATGTACTGATATGTGGAATAGATTTGGAATGGAGATGTAAATAGAGCTATTGTTATATAGAAGATGAACATACTATAAGATGATCATATGCTTCTGTTATTGTTAAGGATTGCCAATAAAATATGTTTAAAAAGAAAAAATATTTAAAAAGAGAATACTGAGGGGTAACATGGTATCACTCTATAAGTAGCTATGAAAAACATTGACTAAGTCTGCAATGTTCTGTAGGAAAGTGCCCCCAGGCCTGCTCAGTTTTTCTCCCCAAGCTGGTTCTGAACCTTTCAGGCCCTGCTTGTTGCGGCCAACAGCAGCTGAACCTCAATGTACCCACAATCCAGGTACTGAGAAGGTTCTCACTGGTTTATGCTTTATCACACCCCTGATGACTACCTTTCAGTACATATTCAAAAAAACTGGTGGGGTCGAGTCTCATTGCAGCTGGACAGCAGTGTAATTCCTTCTCCCATATGTTCTTAAAGAATGCCTTCACACAGGTACACCTCAAATCAAGAGATGAAGCTGTACTTTGTGTCTGGCTTTTTATTATTTCTATGTGCTAGTCATGCTTCCATACTGAACGATAGCTGCCATTATTTCATGCATTTTAGTTTAATTTTAACAATGATGGGTGTTATTCTATCAGATTTTACTGTGTTTGCAAATTTAATTTACTTAGCATTTTTAGGCCATGTTTCAGCGTAAATTTATATATTCTTTATTGGTGCAGAAAAAGTTTTAAATACAGGTTAAATAGAAGCAATTTTACTATTCAGTATATAGCTTAAGATATTAATCTTTACCTGGTTCTCTTTTGGAACTGGCAATGAGATTTCTGACTGCAGTTTAAGCACTTCAGGTCCACCAAATTCAAACACTTTGACAGCTCGCATCACATTTCTCCTTGTTGCCATGGCAACCTGAAAGTTTTGAGATAAAACATAGCATCTTAATCTCTGCTACTTCCTCTACTTCATGGAGAAAAGATCAAATTACTTGCTCCTCAGCTGAAATTTAAATCAGCCATCCTCCAGCCATTTCACTATGTTGTGCAGTAACAATTGGTTTTTTTAATCTTACACAATTCAAAGCCTACAAAGAACTACCATCAGCAGTGTAGAACAGATATAAAGCAAATACATAAAAGTATATCCAATCAAAATGCACCAGCTTGGAAATTATCTTCTTTGACACATCATCAGGATTCACCACATGTTGGGATTATCAATCCCCATTAAAAATGGTCTTATGCCATAGAACAGCTGAGAAATAAAATCAACAGAGTTTCAGATTCATGTATAAATGTCAGCCTATGCAAACTATTAGGCAAGCAAATGAGTTGTTAGGCTATTTTCTTATTTTTAGGACCAAGATGAAGTAAGCAGGATTTTTATAATTTAAGTATAGTGAAAGGCACAATATTAGGAATATTATTGTTCAAGGTCTATTATGAGTTTAGCACACACAAATTCCATTGATATGGCTAGTACTATTGATGGACAATTCAGGGAGAAACATACATCTGTTTCCCGCTCCTCTTCCCACCCCTATCTACAAAGTTAGCACAGACCTGTTGGAAATCTAAGTGAAACTAAGGACTTCCTCACACATGAATGCAACATCAAGCAATTGTTTGTGAATGTGCTATCCTAGATCTACAACTACAGAAAAACTTTGCTTATCATATGGTGTCCTTTCACATGCAATACTGGCCTGTGCAATATTACTCAGCAATTTTTGATGTGAAAACGGGATTGGTACATGAAAACAAATCTGTTCTGGTACACAATTTTCATTTGTGAAATCTTGAAAAACAAGTTACTTTTCTATTCCCCTTTTACTTCTACTACTACCAGATCCTACACCTATAACCATTAATACTTGCATCAGCATTACTTTATATTCAACTTTGTGCCTCTTCAGAACTATTCATTTTTAAATGTTGAGTTCCACAGAATTCACATATTGTGAATGGAATCGCTGAATGGAGAAAAGGAGCACTTTGAAGTTATATATGACATTGCATAAAGAAATATTTTAACACAAATAAAACCTCCTTTATTTCTTATTTCAACACTGCTGAGCAACAAGGAGAGCCAACCTCAGATGAAGGAAATCCTTAGTTTATAAATATCAAATAATACTAAATATTTTGTAATTTCAAGATTTTATTATGGCACATGAAATAGCCTTCAAAGCATACACAGATCATAAAAATAGTAACTCTACTGAAATAATAGATTCATGTTGCTCCTGAACCTCAGATTTCAAAGAAACATTGCCAGTTATTGTTTTGGAAAACACAAGCAGCTCAAACTAAAAATAAACAAAGCATACAACCTTTAATTCAAAGCACCCCTTTGCCTCTGCCCCAGATAAGCATATCAAGTTCTGAAAGACCCTTTTAAAAGAGTTTTACATTGTGGTTTGGTAAGAACTTCCCTTTTTCTGTGTTAATAGTATGCATATTCAAGAGATTTTCCCATCTTCTCATATAGTAGCACCTTTAGACACCTGTGCCTTTATTAAGGCACAATCCTATGCAAGTTTAGACAGAAAAAAGGCCTGCAACTCCTAGCATGCCCCAGGCAGTGAGGTAGCTGAACAATGCTAGATCTTTTTTATCTTTTTTTTTCTCCTAAGCTTACACAGCATTACAGCATGCTGTACAGGGGGGATCTGTTGAAAGTCCAGCCACTGAAAAAATAACAAAAAAAGGGTGCTTCCTATAAAACCCTTATCAGACTGTGCTGAAAAGTCAGTTTAAAAAGTGTTGCACCACGTAAAAAGCTCTCCATTTGTAATGAACTGCAGACCTCCTGACTGTAGGAGAGTGAGGAATAAGACAGCAGGGAGCAGATGAGACCATAAATGTGGGTCACTGCTTAGATATCGCTTATAAGTGTACAGTGGTATCTAGGCTCACAAACTTAATCCGTTCCACAACTCTGGTCCCTACCCAAATTGGTTGTGAGTTAAGTCAAATTGCCCCATGAGGTTCAATGTAAATAAGGTTAATCCATTCTGAGCCCTAAGAACCTGTTTCCCCATAAGGTTCGATGTAAATAAGGTTACTCCGTTCTGTAAATATTTTTTTTAAAATCACAAAAATTTGAAACAAAGTAACAAAGAACAACAAAGTAACAAAGTACAGTACAGTAGAGAACACTAACCTACCAGGTGGGGAGGTTAATGTTTGGAGGGAAAGTCCAAACCATAATCATGCGATAGCAATCGTGCTCGGGTTGAGGGGGAGATGGTCGTGCTCATGCAGGGAAGACAGGCGCAATCATGCTGGGGGGAAGACAGGCGCAATCACAGGCGCACTCGTGCAGGGAAGATGGCTGCAATCATGGTTCATGCGGAGTTCATGAACTGAGGCAAAATTTCCCCATTTGGTCATGAACTGAGACATACCACTGTACATATGGCACATTTGTGCACCTCTCTACAGGCAGAAATTTAGCACAACAGGGCGATCCTAAGCAATATTTCTGTTTCACCGCTCCGCTCTTCTCTCCAACCTCTCTCATCCTGCTGCCTTGAGATACACCCTAAAACAATCTTATCGGAGGAGCCCATTTTACACTGCTCTCCCCACTCCCACCCTCAGAAATCCCAGGCTGCTGTGTAACAACCAGCACTTGCACAGTCCACTCTCATCGCCATGAGTCCCTTCCGGTCTGTCTAAACCAGTGGCAATACTCAAGGGTATCCTAAGAGCCCTAGTGCACAAGCGTGGAAAAGACCCAGCTAAGGCATCAACAAAGGAGATTGTGCACTATAAAGTGTGCATCCGCTTTTACTATTTTTGTAGGTCGGTGAAGGTATTGGTCTTTGTGTTAGTAGCGGTGGGCACAAAGTAGCCGTTCAGTGACGCTTAGCACCAAACAACAGTACATTCAATTACTGCTGTATCACCCAATTGTATGTGTGTTTACTAAAAGACAACCCCCACAGCTTTAAATGGGACTTACTCTTAAGTAAACCCATCTAGCAGTTATTCCTAAGCTTGTGGGAAGGGGCCCAAGCTCAGTGGTAGAGTACCTGCTTTGCATGTAGAAGGTCCCAGGACATCTCCAGGTGAAAAACCCTGGACAGCTGCTGGTGCCAGATTATTGACAATACCAGGCTAGATGGGCAACGCTGGCTGGGAGGTCTTGTGCAACCTGGGTACCTTTTAGGTCTGTTGGGTTACCTCCCTCAACCAGTGGCTGCTGTACTTTTACTTCGAAAGCTTGTACTTTTGTTCCTTCCTCTTGACTTACAAGCTTAACCCTATGTGGCTTATTCAGAAGCAAGTCCCACTGCGTTCACTGGAGATTCTCTGTGGAAGTCTGGTGAAGCGATTTTTGTCTGGGTGCACTACAGAACACCTTGGGGCTTCCTTCTGAGTAAACCCAATATTCGGACTCTAGGTCTCCCCATTGCCTGAAACGGCCTCCACAGAACTTCCCTAAAGCTCTGTGCAGCATCGGACCTATAAATAATTAATAAACAATAAACCTGCAGTCCTTAGTATCCATGTGAAAGGCTATGTCGTTTTTCCCATTGAAGGAAGTTCAGGACAAAGATATGCATAATCTAGAATCAAATCAAAGTCAGTTCGCCTAAACACAACCGTATGTTGTATCCTATCTGATCTAATTTAAATCGCAAGAATTTCAACGGGTTTATTCTAAATGTCTCTCATATAGGACGGCATATAAAAGTAGATAAATAAATAGGATTAAACCCTTTGTTGCGGTCCTTACGCATTCGATTGGAAGGAAACGTCATTCAACTTAATGGAACTTTATTCCTTAACAAACCTGTACAGCTTGAAGTTTGACGTTGTACTCCTACGCGGACTAATTTGAAAGTACGGTCTGTAGGCCTCAGTAGTTTTTTGCTTCCGAATGTACATGCAGAAGGAAAAAGCGCTACGCCTCCTAAGTTTGTCCTAGGCGAGCTGCCATTGGACCAGGATGGCGGCGCCCACAGAACGGTCGGGTTAAGGGACGCCATTTCTTCCGTGTGGGATCTATGGGGCGTGGGAGACGGAGAAAAGCCGCCTCCGATGGCCGATTTCAAGCGCTGGAAAGAGCAACGGCTGTTGCGCGCGGATGGGAGCCGGAAGGGCAGCGTGGACGAGCCCATCGAGGGGATTGTGAGGCTTCTCAATGAACACGATAGTTTCTGCACTACCAGCTCGTGCTCGGGCCGCATGGTAGTCATGGAACAGCCGTCTCTGCCTCCCCCCGCCGAGGTACCCCCGTCTTCGGCCTTTTCTTCATTCCTTCCGGCAGGACTTGGGAATTTCCTTTCGTCTCTCGCATAAGAACTAAAGTCTAATGATTCGAGGCAACCTTCCGTAATCTGGTGCCTGCCCGGTTTATTGGACTACAGCTCCTAGCCGGCATAGATGGCGGGGGTGCTGGCAGTTTGTAACCCACTTGCGAAGTGCACCTGGTTGGGAAAGGCTGGTATAAAGTGACGCCGGCATTTGGTACACTTGACTACTTGCATCCTAATATAGAAAACAACCCGCAGTTTTTCGTCACGTAATCCTCTCGCAGTGAGGTTCTGACTTTAGAGTAAATTCTTTTAAGTGGCGCTTGTACACGTGGGAGATATTTTGGACAACAAAAGGCCAGAGAAACATCCAGTTCTGATTTCTCCCCTGCCGCTAGTTTTTGGTTTTTGGTTTTTTTCCCCAGTCTCTCCCCTCCTATATGGCTCTAAGTCTACATAAAAGAATCTGCCTTTTCCAGATCAGAATTGTGGGCCGACACCATATTTGCTATCTGGAACCAGCGGCAGAAGCGGGGGCTTTCAATTAACTAGCCTTTGGGGTAGGGAATCTGGTGCCTAGAGATGTTTTAGACTACAGATTCCATGAGCTTCAACCTTACATGGCCAATAGGAGTTACGGGAGTTGTAGCCCAGAACATCTGGAGGGGACCTGGTAGCTGGCTGATAGGCCCCAGACTCATTAGTTCCATGGCAACTGCATCATCACTGTTTTTCTCCTCTTTAATTTGGTAAAAAGTTACAATGCTTTCATATGGGAAAGTGGGAATACTGGAAGCATTCTGAATTGGTTTCAGTATCTACAGTGGTTTGTGAATCTACTTTTCTTCTTGGTAGGCTACCACTGGCTTTGAGATACAAAAGCAAAATTGTACCTGGCTTATGGTGACTCATCAAACCTGTGCAATAGAAGATGTGGTAAGAACCAACATGAATTATTCTTTATACATATTTCAAAAATTATTGTTTTCTTTTTATACTGTCTGCAAGTCCGGAAATTACAGGTGGTCCCTGGGTTATGAAAAATTTTAATTCCTGAGAAGGTCCTTAGGTTGAATTTCTATAAAAGTTGAGTAAGCCAAACTTTTGTCTATATTTTACCTTTTTATGCATATAAAACAATTAAGAAACACTTCCATATTCACTAAAATATATTAAGTACAATACAATATTGTAATAAATATGATAATACAGTAATAAAGTACCTACAGATATTGAAGAGAGAGAGAGAGAATCTGTATGTATGTGTGTAGGTAAACAGTATTGTAAAAAAAATAAAAGTGACATTTCTTAAATCAGTTTAGAACATTTTTGAGGTAACATTACACCTAACCATTCATTCATTCATTTATTAAAAGCTTTTGTATGCCGTCCTATTATACAAGATCTCAGGACGGCTTACAATATTTAAAAACAACTTGGGGTTGTGGGGAGATGGCTGTGATCTTGGTTGCCACCCAATGCAGAGTTTGCGACCCACATGAAAATTTTCATGAAATTTTTGTTTGCGACCCAATTTGGTCGTGAACCAAGATGTTCGTGAGCCAAGGTACCACTCTATCTCTAGGGAACCTCGCAGGCCCTGGTAAACTGAACCCATTGCATAGTTCACTAGGAATATTATTACAGGTTTTATGGCAGTCTCTGCATTTGGAAGTACAGGTTGGTTGTAACTCTGACATTCATAACCCAGGGACTATGTATTTATGTTACAAGATTTCTGATTCTTTTTTTTTCATTGAAGAGGGCCTTCATTTGGGGGGGCATCTTGATTGGCTAGTGTTATCTTATTTACACAGCTGGATATACTTTGTAATTGCTGTTCATTTCAGACTTTCTGCTAGTGACTTCTAATGGCAGAATTAATTTTTTAAGCCACAGTTGTAAGAAAGATTTTACTGGAACTGAGAGTAGAGTGCTCCTGAAAAGACTTAGAAATTCATTTCATTTATATCTGTTGGCGCATTAGTTGACAAGAAATTCTAGCAGTTTTCAGTATCTACCAGATGAGGGCAGACTCTGGATTGCTAGTAAGGAAAGGCTACACCTTAATGTAATATTTTTGTAGATTCTTCCATATATGTCTAATAGAGGTATTTTAGTGAAAGCATGAGGCAACTTTTAATAACTCTGCATCTATTTATTAATTTCATACGGTGTAGGTTATGTTCCAGTTCTTTAATAAGCAAAGTACCATCTTTTCTATTAAATAGAAGGCATTTGATTACACTGTTACTGTAAATATGCTTCTATGAATTGCACTAATTTATTTATTTATTTATTACATCTATTTATGGTCGCATAGCCCAGAGGGGAAGGCTGTGGTGGGGAGAGGGGCCCAGGAAAGCAGGGTGCAGCAACTGGTCAGGCAGGCAGAAGTTAGGTATGCTGAAGTTACCTCTGACTTCTTCAAATTAATTCAGGGACTTACCTTTTTGTTTACTGCTAGGAAAATATATTTTATAATGATGCTTGGGTTGGGAAGTTTGAGCTACTATAATTTCTCAGGGTAGATAAAAAGCAATGATTAAAATAAACTGGATTTCTAAAAAAATTAAATTGCATTTTTTACATAAAATGCTTTTTGAGGAGAAATCTATCTAAAGATAGTTTTCTATTTGAGATACATTATAGTCCAAAGCTTATTCATCATGAAATAATGATAAGTCTAATTATGTAGCATGAGGCTTCATACAATAGTCATGCAATGTTTAATTTTTTTGGTAAATGAATTCTGTTAATCCATTCATAATGTCATGCTCTTCTAGAGGTTTCTGTAAGATTAATGGGCAACTTTTCTGCTTAGAAGATACTATCACAGAGGCTTGGTTTTATAGTTCTCAAAACTGTGAATGTGTTTCTGCAAAGATCACATGCCTCTTTACAGCAAAAATGTTATAAAATAAGCACGAAAAGTCAAGAAAATGACCTTAATCCCATTGTTCCTTTGCAAATCTGTATACATAGAATTACCTCTTAAGTTTTAAGTTTCAAAAAATTCAGTGAATAGAAGATTCTTGGGGGTGGAATAGATATGCGCAAGATGTGAAGGCAAGCAGTAAGAATGAAAGTGATCTTTTGAACGGAATACTCTACAAGTCTTTGGATCTTTTTGTGTTATAGCCTGATGTTTATCATATTCTTTTTCTGGAGGAGAAAACCTATAATGGCAGCCGCCCATAAAGAGACCTAGTTTGGGAATATTTGAATGAAGTTCCTCTACCTACGGTAAGGCAGGCATATGTGGAAATTATGTAGAAAACCATGATTTAAATCTAGTCTTACTGACTAATGATTTAAATTGTGATTTAAATCAAATCCACCCTGTAACTTGTTGTGAATAATGGTCATAGCACTTAGGCTTTCATAGCTGCCACCTGACTAATGCAGGATTCTGGAAAATCCTGGTTCTTTTAGATCAGCAGATCTTGTAGAGCTATACCTACAGATCTGATTGAGCCTCTGGAAGGAAGCTTGTAGCCACTATATAAAAATCTTTTTTCAGACAGCCCTTTCCATCACCAAAAGACCACATGGCAAAACTCTTTTATCAAGTTTTAAGAGACCTGAAAAAGAACTTGGTTAACTTCAGCAGTCTATACAGTTCCAGAAGGTATGTTTTTCTGCTTATTGACTGAGAGCCTTATGGGATTTTGGCAGTTGGCTTCCATGGAAGAAGGGCTGCAGTGTACGTTTTGAAGACATAATAGGAAATTACTTTCAGTTTTTTAATATTAGAGCTGGGCCTTTTGCAGGAAATGAGTGATTTAGAAGCTACAAGGTGTTCTTCAATCAAAATCTGTTTTTGAAATACATATTATGAAGAAACATTATTTTTAAGTCCCTGTAGACTTATACCAGAAGCAAAAGAACCTATAAATGTGTAGGAGAACAGCCAGAGCTGTTTGAAGTATTTACCATAGCAGTTCTGATACACAGAGGGATATTTTTTTTAACTGAATGGTTTGTTGAAGATGGCTTCTTTGTCTTTCTCAGGACTGCTGTGGGGGGTGCATAAAATACAGCTTTTGCCGCACCTGGATTTCCTTCCCAGCCCACAATTATCCTTTTTTTAATCAGAGGGATAGGATGCTGATAAGTCATGGTCATCTTGAGTGCCATTTCTTGGCAGGCAGTGTACGAATTAAATAAATCACCATATTTTTCATATGCCTTTTCCCCAGGATGAGGGAATAATCCTTTTCTAGTATTGGCACAGACATACCTGAAAACAGCATCACACAATACATGAGTCTGTAGTTTAGTAGACTTCAAAATATACTAGTATCTTCCATCAAAAGACTATTTGTCTAGAGTAAGTACTCAAGAGCATAAGTTATTTCTGTTCATGTGAAGAGGTGAATATCTAATAACCCCAAGCTAATACCCCAAGAATGTATGCTGAAGCTAGTGTAGGATCACAGCCTGAGTTATTGCTGAGAATACTATTAAGCAGTATTATTAAATAAGAGAGGAATCCTAACTTCAGTTAAAGAAAGGCCAGCTGAGAGGGATTAGGATGTGACAGAAAAGTCCCTCCACCAGCAGGGAAGTTCATGGAAAGCCCCGAGTGGGGGAAAACAGGTACTTGAGGAAAGATCAGACTATTCTAGAGTGGAGGTGTCAGGTTCAACCTCAGATACACTAGATATAAAACCCACTTGCTTCCATGGCCTGCCCCAAGATCAGACATTGTAACTACACTAGTGTGAAGTTGGCATAATACAATTCACATTGGTTTCAATGGAGTGGGAGTGATGGCCACAAACCACCTTACCACCTCCATCTTTGGCTGGTATGTGCCAGGAGCAATTTGGAAGAGGCATATCTTCCGTCAGTTAACTTTTCATCCTCACTTAAATGTGTAACAGAGCTAGTAGACTTTTTCAGTTGCAGAAGGCAGAGATGAGGAACATGGTGGCTAGTCTTTTTGTAATCATTTTGTTTTCTGGGTTTGTGGCATTTGAGGGTCACTTTACAGAATAAAAAGCTCAGCCTTAACTGTTGGCTGGCCCAACTTTCTTTTCCAATTAACATGTTGATGCTTGCTTTGGAATTGGGACACTTGCTGAAGTTATTGCTATGCTAAAACCCCATTCATGTCCCTTCCAAAAGAAATATGGAATCTGTATGGTCTTGTACAAAGCAACTACTACTCTTGGTTCGTAAGTCTAGATAAACACATTGTTAGAGTTTGGGAAGGGCCACAGTTCAATGGTAGAGTACCTTCCTTTTTTGCATGTGGGAGTTTCCAGGTTTTGTCCTCAACATCTCCAGCTAAGGCAGGGCAAACTCCAGTATGAAATCCTGAAGGGCCACTGCCAGTCAGCGCCCAGAGTACTAGGCTAGATGGACCAAGGGTCTGACATAGTATGAGGCAGTTTCCTGTGTTCTTAAGTTAAGATCATTAACTTTTGAATGTCTAGAAAAATAGCTCTGAACTGTGTATAGGTAAAAGCTTTTTACAGGATACAAATTTCCACTTCATTCTAGTATTGCATTAGGCAGGGTCCAGCACTGGCCATTTAATAATCACAAAAAATGAACTGTGGAATAGACTAGTCTCTCTCTCTCTCTCTCTCTGTGTGTGTGTGTGTGTGCGCGTGCGTGCATGCAGGTGAGTGAAATCCCTTCTAACTGTTCTATCTGAAACTACTACTGCCTATCCTATACAATAAATTGTAGTATTAAATTTGATTAGTTATTATTTATTGCAGCCTGTATGCTAATCAGTTTTGCTCTCAAGGATCCTGGTGTTGTAGGGTGGGGATGTTCTTGAAAGGAGACATTGCTGAGAGGGAAAATTTACTTACTATTGGCATCCCCCAGTTTTTAGCATTTATATATTTAATATATAGATATCCTCAATGCTTTATAGTCATACCAAAACATGCAAAGGTCTATTGTAGCAAAATTGGCCTTGCTGTTAGAATGCATTCTTGTACTTCTCAAAGTATTGATTGAACTACTTTGGGAAACTACAAAACTAGTTTGATCAGAGACTTTAAAAAAACCATGTGTGTACTTTCAGCAAACACTACCACTTAATACTGCTTCCAGCTCTTTCAAACACTGTCATCCATGCACAGTCATTAGAAGGTCAGACCTCAGTAGCAAGTTGCGCTGAAGGAAATGAACCAGTGAGTGCATAGAAGCATTACAAGTTGTATACTTTTTTTTAACTGAAACAGTCTCTGTTGTGCAGCTATTTCAAATGCTTACATAGGCTGGATTTGTATTGTTCTTCCATAAATGAAGAATTTCTATTAATACATTTTGGATCTTCTAGCTTACAGCCTTGAAGAGAGCAACAGATGATGCCATATTCAAATTTGAACCATTTGTTCTTCATGTGCAGTGTCAAGACTTACAAGATGCACAACTTCTGGTAAAGTGAAACCTTGTACTTAAAATTGATACATACTACATGTGTAACAGTTGGCTCTTGACTGAATTTTCACACTTAGGTTTGTTTCCTAAAGCATTGCATGTTTAATAAATGGGCCCATGAAAATATGATGATGGAAAAAGGGAGCTTATGTAATTTTTACAGATGCAATGCTCATAAGTGAAATTATGGTTTTGTTAAAATGAATGGTAAAGCTCCCCCAGTGGGGGAATGAATGTTTCAGAAACAAGCACAGGCTGTTATAACTAATAGCTTTTCATCCATTGGTTTTTTGGTGACTAGTACCTTTCAGTAGCTTGTTGTTAGTCCTGAAGTCATGCCCGGCCCATTATGACTACATGAACAACATTCCTCCAGGCTCTCCTGTGCTCCACCATCCCTCAGAGTCCACGCAAGCTTACACCCACTGCCCCAGTGACTCCATCTAGCCACCTCCCCCTCTGCCATCCCCTTCTTCCTTTGCTGTCAATCATTCCCAGCATCAGGATCATCTCCAATGAGTTGTTCCTTCTCATTAGGTGGCCAAAGTATTTGAGTTTCATCTTTAGTATCTGACCTTCTAAAGAGCAGTCAGGGTTGATTTCCTTTAAGATTGACCGGTTTGATCTCTTTGCAGTCCAAGGGAATCTCAGGAGTCTTCTCCAGCACTGCAATTCAAAGGCCTCAATTCTTTGATGCTCAGCCTTATGGTCCAACCTTCACATCCATACATTGCAACTGGGAAAACCATAGCCTTGACTATATGAACATTTGTCAGCAGGTTGATGTCTCTGCTTTTTAGTATGCTGTCTAGATTTGCCATAGCTTTTTTCCCAAGGAAGCGTCTTTCAAGTTCTTGGCTGCAGTCACCATCTGTTACTACCTCCATTTCTTCCCCATCTATTTCCCAGGAAGTGATAGGACTGGATGCCATGATCTTAGCTTTCCTAATGTTGAATTAAGAATGTTAAAATGTGGAATGTTAAAAATGTTTTCAGTAGCTAAACTCCAAATAATTAGGACAATGACCATATGAACCAAAATAATTGAAATAATTCATCCACAAGGAAGGAAAATCTTTGACTCTTCCTAACTTTTCATTGGGCTGAATTTAATAAGGTCCCAGTCCAGAATAGTACTACTTAGAGAAGAGTTACTACATTGTTTCTTCCTAGGAAGCTACTTCCTAAATAGTACCTCTGTAGCAAGGAGTTTTTAAAGTTCCAGTGGGAATTGGAATATCTTTTATCATGGTGTGGTGGGTCTGTGGCTTAAGAAAAAAAGATGCAAGCACTTTTATGTTCCTGAATTGTTGCCTGTACTATGTCTGTTTTCTAATTTAGAAATAGATTTTTGTAATGCAGTTGAACACAGTGCTATTATATTCAAATTATAAATATTTTAGTACCTCCTTTTGCTATAATACTTTGGAATAAAAGAAGGCAGAACCAACTTGTAATATTCAGCTCTAACACAGTAGGTAATCTGCAGTGATTCACTGTATTCCATATTTTTGAAAGCATTTAGAATAGAAATCAGTGGTTGACATTAGTTTCATGTTGCAGATTTTTGTAAGTAAGACCTTAGCTTGCCATTGTATCTAGATGAAGCATATAGTGTTTTCTCTTACCTTTACAGCACATGGTGGCAATAGAAGCTGGATTCAGGAACTCTGGTATAACCGTTGGTCGTAAAGGAAAAATTATGATGGTATGCTTTGTTTTTCTGCTTTTTCATTAGGAGTATGCACAATGCCATCTGGTTTCACTGCTTGGCTGGTCCAGCATTTCCATATGGCTAATAAACCAGCATCTTCACCTGTGTAATGCATATGCAGTTACCAGAACGGATAATCTTTGAACCATTATCAAGATGGCCATGGAAGTATTACTCATAATATTAAAGAAAGGGAGGGGTGAGGAAAGATTGAGCAAAGCATATGAATGTGACAAATTTCTGGATTTCTAATTAGCTGACTGAAATAGCTTCTGCCCATGTTGATTTTGACAAGGCCCTGAGTGCAGAAGCAACCCCAACCCTTCCTAGAAGTGGTAGAACCATTCTCACATAGTGGTTACCCACCATATGTGGCCACATTTCATTTGATGAAAGTTAGATGAAATATTAAGTAGTTACTCAAGAATGATTGCTTCATGAACTATAGAAGTAAAACATCTGTCCCTTTGCCACTTTAAATACCTTTATCCCAAAAGATAATAACAAGTAAATGCGTTGTTAAGTTTTCTTAATTGAATCAGCCTGCCCCTCATGGTTGATAACACCTCAAAGTCAATACAAATGTGCAGCATTCCACTTTTCTGTTGCTCTAGGCTGTCCGTAGCACCCATTGCTTAGAAGTTCCACTAAGCCAGAAAGGAAAATTGATGGTCAGTGAAGAATATGTGGACTTTGTGATACAAGTTGCAAATCAAAAGATGGACGAAAACAGGAGGAGAATTGACAGGTTTGTTAATAGGCTATATAATATTTATCTATTATAGCAGCTAAACATTAATACAGAAAATGAAACATCTGAAGAGGAGCTATTCATAGTAAGCTAAACTACTATTAACTATATACAGTAAACTAAAATTGACTGCATGAGATGTCAGAATTTAATGTGCAAAGGGACCAAGGCATACAGTTTTTTATGTATAAGGTGGCCATTGGATTTTTTAAAATTTTATTTCTAAAATACAACTGCAAAAATCAATATTTAAAAACAAAAACATACAAATTTGAACATACAATTAAGTTCTTACAGTTCTTACAATACAGTGCCCCCAGTGATACATGTTACAAATCAGAAGGAAAATAATATTCAAACACTTCAGGACATTCCCCTCTTCCAAATGTAATGATTCTTTGGAAGGCTTAAATCCTTTTCCCTTTTTAAATAAGCACACCCCAAATATCGTTAAATTTATTTTTCTTTATAAGCCCTTTTCTCAGTTTCATATCACATGTCAATTTGTCATTAATAGCTATATTCCAAACTTCTCTATAGCAATCAGGCAATTGGTAATCATTTTTTATTTTCCAGTTCTTAGCTATAATAGTCTCACTGCAATTATTAAATGTGTTATTAATTCTTTATTTGTATCCGTTGTTTTTGGTCAAATACTGAAACCAATGCAATTCCAGGGCATATATCTATATTAAGACTTAATATTTTACTACAATTTTAAAAATCTCTTTCCAAAGTTTCATTATATACACATTTCCACCACATACGGAAATATGTATCCACTTCATAACCACATCTCCAACATAAATGGGAGTATTTGTTATCTGTACAATTCAATTTCACTGGGGTTAGATATCACTTCTATACAACCTGGCGACAGTGACACACACGTTGGTGACTTCCTGACTTGACATCTGTAACGCGCTCTATGTGGGGCTGCCCTTGAAGACGGTCCGGATACTTCAATTGGTTCAAAATAGAGCTGCCAGGCTGCTGACAGGGACTGGGCGTTATGTTCACATGACTCCAGTTCTCTGTCAGCTTCACTGGCTTCCCAATGAAGTCCGGGCCCAATTCAAGGTGTTGGTTATGACCTATAAAGCCCTTAATGGCTTGGGTCCTGGTTACCTGAAGGAGCACTTACGTCCATATATGCCTGCCCGCCCCTTGAGATCAGTGGGAGAGGCCCTTCTCCGGGAACCCTCCGTGAAGGAAATTAGGAGGGTAAGTACTCAGAGGAGGGCTTTTTCTGCGGCGGCGCCCAATCTATGGAATGCGCTCCCCAGAGAGGTCCACCTGGTGCCGCCGTCATTTGAGTTTCGGCGCCAGGCGAAGACCTTTTTATTCAAACGTTATTTTAATTGTTAATATTATTTATTTATTTTATTCTTTGGCCAGGGCGACTTAATTTATACTGTTAAATTATATTGTTTTATATTATGTTATTTATTTATGATTGTGAGCCACCCCGAGGCTTCGGCGAATGGGGAGGCATAGAAGTTCCCAAAATAAAATAAAATAAAATAAAATAAAATAAAATAAAATACCTTGTAAAAGTTTCCTTTATTCTTACTGACAATCCTTCTGAGCATTGCCAATTACACTTAAGCAGAGGGAGGGAGGAGGGGACAACTCCTTATGCCTCTATCACTTCCATGTTTAATCCTAGTCAATCCCATTTTTTTTATTTAATTACTAATACCTGATTTACACTTCATTATATAACTCCTCTCCATCTCTGTATTCTCTATATCTTATTCTGTCCTATTCTCTCCTGATTAATTATAGAAAGTTAGCAAAAAGAAGTAGGGATGGCAGTGGAGATAAAATTCCATGGGGGAATATTTTATACATATCTATATTACCATAAACATGTAAAAAGAGAACATTAACAAAATGTCCATTAAATTATCTTACTAAACATGTTCCTTCTCTTCCATGTCCATCATTTGGTGATGCCCCCTCTACAACCCCTTCTTAACCACTTGTTCTGTCAGTTTTGACCTCTCTTTCTCCACTGAGCTGCTTTCTCGAGTTGGGGAGCATCCACTAATTGCTCCAGCCAATGTTTCCTCTTCCAGTTGGCTAATATTTCAGGTCAGCGGACATCCACCCACAGCTCCCATCTCCTAATTTTCTCATAAGTAACTCATAATAATTAGAATGAACAAACTTGAACAGTACATCTCTGGAGAACATTCTAGATCCACGCTTAGGACCTGCCCTACGTATTCTTTCTAGATCTTCATGGCCCCATCTCTCTCTAGAGGGACTTTTTAAAGCCATTCCAACACATCAGCTGTAAGATGTTTCTCTACTGCATATGCTTGTTCAACAATCCCATGTACTCTAATGTTGGATCTATGACTCTGGTAATGCAGTGAAATCACCCCTTTTTCCTATTCTGGTATTCTTTTGTATTGGTGATGTATCTCCACTTAACGAAGCTTCGGACAGCAGTTCTATTTGTTTATTTTAACAGTCAGAGCTATGAACTGATCTTCCAAAATCTCTAACATTGTTTTTATTTTCAGCTTTCATCTAATGAATGATAATATTTGCCATTCTCTGTGTTATCTTCTGTTTATCATGTTGCCTTCTACTATCAATCTTTCCAATCTTAGTTTCAAGGCCTTTCAAATGTTGATTGACCTTTTCGGTCTCTTCCAGCTCTTTAATGCCTGTCTCAAGCATTTTTCTGAGACCTTTTATCTCCTATTCCATCTCTGGCTTCCCTTGGAATCCCAGTGCTCAGCCCTCCAATTCTGAGGATACAGTTTTAGTTCCAGAGACAGATCTGATGGTTTTCTTGTCTCTCTCCTGGGTGACATTCACTTATTCATCCAGCAGCGGGAACTCTCTAATGCAGGGGTCTCAAACTCAACTTACCTGCGGGCCGCTGGAAGTAGAGTCTGGGTGAGGCTGGGCCGCATCAAGTATTCCACCACCGTGGTGGTGGTGGGCCGCTCATCCCGCAGCTGGCCCGGGCGCCGCTGGCACTTTGAAGGCCACAGGGCCCCTCCCCCGTGCCCCTCCCCCGTGCCCCGCCCCCGTGCCCCGCCCGTCCCGGCAATTGGCCTACGGGCCGCGAGTTTGAGACCCGTGCTCTAATCATATTCTCTTCCAATTCTAGTTAGGGTTGCTTTTTTATCTCTTAACTCCAGCTCTAGTCTAAACAATAAATTCTTTTTTCCCCCTTCTCTTCCTTTATTGTCTATGGCAGTCTCCGCAATATTTATGTTGTTAAATATCCCTCTTTACAAATTAGCCAAAGCTACTACAGAATTTTAAAGCTTTTTAGCCTTTAAAGCAACCTTTCAGAGTTCTTTCTCAGACTTTGCCCACACTGGGACAAATCCACTCCAATAAAAAAGGGTGAGTCTTTTTACAGTATAATTAAGGCTGCTTCCTTATCTTCACCTCCACTTAAAATTAGAATGTTCCGCTATGACTTATTCCAAAATCAAATTGTTTAAACAGGATAAGCTCATAAATTCTCTTGAGGCAACAGAAAAGGAAAATTATGATGCTATACAGGCATACCAGAGGGGGGGAAGGCCATTGGATAATTTGGAGTCCCAGCTCCAATCTTGGTAACTTGCCCCAAGGTTGAAGCTAGAACTCTGATCATAAGGTGTCTTCCCTCCACCCTTGTAGCTAGAGCAGAAAGAATGCTGCTGGTTGCATCTCCAAGGTCACAAGAGCAACCTTAGAAATGGCATTTTGTGGGTTTCCCATGACAGAGAGGAAACAGGCTCTGCCAGTATGCATAATATCCTGCCAGCATCTCTCTCTCATCTCTTTTCTTTCATGGCAAAACAGTTCAGTGGCCAAAATAAGCCATCTAAGTGTTTGTTTTTCTGGACAGGAGAAGCACAGAGGTGAGCTTTACTTCTGCATTTCTTCTATCCTCCAAAGAACACCTGTACCTTTTGGAGTTTGCCACAGGCAGTCACAATGAATTTCATTTGTAAAGTATTTGTATCACACTCTTCATCCAAAAAGATTCCCATAGTGGCTTAAATATAGTCAGTAAACAAAGACAGTCCCTGCTCACAAGCTAACAATCTAAAAAGAAACAATGTGCAAGGAAAATAAAATGGTAAGGGGATAAAAAAAAATCAAGTCCTTGACAAAGGCTGATAGACTTGCCCTGCTTCCCCTTCTCCTCCCTCAATTTAACCTGCTAGAAGGATTCAGTCAAAAAAGACTTCTATAGATTACTTATATTACATGGTTTAACAATCAGCCGCCCTGGAGTCCCCACCTCCCCATGGCTCACAGGGCACAACTGCCAGCCCTACACTCCCTGGTCCCCAAATCCCAGAGCCAGACACTGGATTCAAACACAACAAACACTGGGGAAAACTTATTTATTAAAAGACAGGATTAATGCAATGGGGTGGTGGGTCTTAAAACCCATAACACAGAACATACACAAAAGGGGGTTGGGAAGTAAGAAGGGAATCAGAAAACAGCACTTTAACTAAATCCACACAGTCTCAGCTCCCCTAAGACTCCTAAGGCCAATTGGCCACCTCAGACCCAAAGTAACAAAGCTAGCTTTTCCTAACACTAACACAGTATATAGTACCCAATGGAGCCTTCTCCTTTGTAGAAAAGCACAACATTCTTCGACAGCCTCCAGTGGCAACAGAAACCTCTCCTGGGAGAGATACCCCGATCTATCCCAGCCCCCAGCTTTTATCCCTGTTAGATCAAACAGCTGACTGATGGGGTGACATCTGCTGACATTACCCAGGTGAAAATTGTATACCCTTTAGACCTAAAGTCTTTGGCCTTCAAGGGGAGTGTGAATTCTCCTGTCCTTGGAAGTAATTTACAGTATCTTACGGCTTTTTGCATTCCAGGTACTATCAAGTCTTCCTGTGGCCCTATCTCCTTGCTTTCCTTGAATCACCACCTGGCTGAAACAAGCCCAGCCTCTGAACCAAGTGTTAACCCTTCCCCAGCCAAGGGGTCCTCAGCCCATTCTTTGCTACAGATAGACCTCAAGATTCAACTAGTCTGTTGCTAGTGTTGCAGTGTAGTTGTAGCTAGCTAAATTGTAGCTGCTAGATTATAAAAGCCCAGCAAATCTATATATATAAATGTCTTGCAAACTTTGATGAAACTTACACTCATGTACTTTTTCTTCTAGATTTTACACCTCTCTGCAGTTTGCATTGGAAAACAGAGACCATTCTAGTAGTTCACCTTTGAAGGAGAAAGAGAAGAATAGTTCTGTGGACTCTTACAGAAGAAGAAGGAATTTGAAAGGAATGCAAAAAGATGGCAAATGTCCTTCTCCAGAGGTAAACAGTGAAGATGAGATGGAAAACAATCTTAACATTTTTCAATGAAATATGCTGCAAGTAGGATTATGTGAAGTAGGTATATCCACATTATGTTTGTATAATGTTTAATTTTCCACTGCTCTTTGTGAGAGCTTTGCAGTTTGAGTTTTTAAAAGTAGCTGTTCTTAATACAGTTTACTGTAGGTATTAAGTTACTAGTAAAGTAATAAAGTGCCACCAAATGTGGGCAAACAAGAAAAATTCCTTGGACTTTTTTTAACAGTGAAGATTTTCAATCTGTGACCTTGAATAAAGAATATTTTAACTGTATGTAAACTTCACCACAATAAAATATAGTTTTGCTCTATTTGTTTTTCCTGTTTAAAAACACTATATTAAAAGTTAAATGCTGTTCTAAAAACACTAAATTCACCTCTGCTATTAAAAATCCTTCTTTCTTCCTACTTCACTTAGTAGGGATAATTGAGACCATAAGGCCACTTCTGAGAGGAAAAGCTTTTGAATGTTTGGAAGAAGAAAATAAGCATGAAACAAATCCATCATTGATTAAGCTACTAAAATAAATAATTGTAACAAGTATTAACCTTTGCCACTGTTAATAATCATTTGGAGACCTTTTGCTCCTTCTTCCTTTAGAAGAGTGAACATTTTAAAAGAAATCCAGAACCCTAAAAACAGATACCCACATTATCCAGTGAACACATCTTTCTTCAGTTCTTAGAGAGAAGAGATTCTTACTGAAGACTTACAAGTTCCTGAAACTATCATGCTCATTGCTTTAAAAGTTATACATGGATTTGTTTGCCTATAATTTTAATCAACAAAGAGGAAATGTTTCATTTCTAGCCTACTAACAGTTGCTGCTTTTTAAGAGTAGAGCCGTATCCAGAAGTCATTACAAGAATAGCCCCACTGGAATCAGTGAATCTTAAGGTAGCCTTTTTAAGTCTTGCTCATTTCTGGATCCAACCTTTTGTATGTTGTTTTTAAGGAATCCTTTTCACTGGCTAAGATTTCTAGCCAACTTCAGTAATCAAAGCCATGATGTCACCTCTGCAAAAAGTATGCCTTGTATTGCAGGATCCTCTCTGTTTAAGAAGGGAGATTTATAAAGTGATTTGTCTTACTATTAATACTTAAGCTATACTTCCTAGAGCTGTAGAATACAAAATGAATGAGCACTTAAAAGGACATCATGCTTTTTCATAGTGAACTGAAATGGTAAGTACTTCACTGACAAGATAGTATCCAAAATGGCACTGAAAAAGCAACAGAAGTCTCACTGTGGTTGGGAAACTCCACATTCTGTAGCAGTACATTTTTTAAAAAAGATGGGAGCAACTCCTGAAACAGTTCAATGAGAATTGAGTGTGCCCAGAAGCCACATGATGTGGAGGGGCCACTACGAAAGGAAAAGGAACATGGTGTTTGGTTGCATGGAAATCTATACTTTGAGAAAATGGCGGGCTGGAACATTGAACTGGAGGAAGGGAAGGAACACCATAATATCTTGTTCCTGTTCAAATTGTATATACAAGTTCTCTAAAAACAAAATTTAGTGATGTGACCTGTTGTAGGAGACAATATTTATTTGAAAATTGAGATATACATAAATGCATGAGCATTTTCTCTGCACTGTGGCTAACACTGACAGCTTGCAAACCCACCTTCTATATCATGGTTGCAAAATGGAACATGATCTTAGCTGTGCTTTGCATTAACATTACTTAACTCTTGATGGCCTAACCATTTTTTAGGAAGCTAAGTGGCTTTACACCAACACAAGCTAAAGAAATCTAGACATTGTCCAAGGTTCTCAGATAAGGTGTTTTAGAAATTGATTTAAGAGCCAGAGTATATCTGCATATCCCTAATGTGACTGTTTTTTGAAAAAGGAGTGAGGTAATAAAGAGTGGAGAGAGATTGAGATGCAATGCATCATTACAAAAAGAGTCATGTTGGATCCGACAAAGGATCCATCTAGTCCAGCACTCAGACAACTAAATTTCCATGCAAAGACCACAAGGAGGACATGGGCAGAACACCAACCTTTCGTTCCTCTACGACTGGCATGAAGAAGCCTAGTGTCCTTGATATGGGAGCTAATATATGGCCAACATGCCTAGTAGCCACTGATAGCCTTATTCTCTAATTCCCTTTTAAAGCAGCCCAAATTGGTTGTCATACTGTGATAACAAGTTCCACAATTTAAGTATACCCATCTCTCCTTAATCTCCATTAAAGAAGTGCTTGCATCTCTCCTTAATCTCCCACCAATCAGCTGCAAGCATTCTAGTAGTATGAGTGCTAGCCAATTTCTCTGTGTCATGTATGATTTTAAACATCACTGTTATATCCTATCTCCCCTTTCCCTTTTGTCCTAATTTAAATAGCCTCAACACCATTTCCTTTCCTGCTAGATTTGTTCCAGACCCTTGACCATTTTGGTTGCCTTTCACTGCATTTTCAGCACTACAATATCTTTTCTGAAGTGCAGTGACCAGAACTGTACACAGCTTTCTAAGAGCAGTTGCACCATAGTTTTTCGTAAGTGCAGTCTTGGCATTTTCCCCCTGAACATGCCTAGCTTAGAAGACCACAGCAAATGTCAATATTTGATGCCATATCCACGTGAAGACCACGCATTTGTGAATCCAGTTTTAGACTTTTTAATAGGTGGACTCTGTGTCATTACAAATGCTTGGGTGCCACAGAACTATGAAAAATCGCTGCTACAGGTTTGAACAAATGTAAGTCTAGAAAGACAAACAGTCACAAATTAGTCTCAATATTACAGATATACTATTCAGTATTAGTCAAACCTAAGTCCTGTTGATTTTAATGGAGGTACTTTAAGTAAAGCTAACATTGGAATCAACTTGTAATTCCTAATATTTATCTTGCTAAATCAGAGCTGGCCTCTTCAGTCATCAAAGCATAGTTAGTATCAGTAAAATTCAGATCCTCGAAAGATGCCTCTCATATTACAAACCCTTTTTTTGTACCTAAATCATACCCTACTAAGTTGTAACTCCTTCCTTTCCCATAACTGCAAATCTCTGTAAAGTTTTGTTTTGTTTTAAACAACCCTGTATTATTTATTGGAACAAACTACATAATAAATGCAAAGCATGCAGTATTTGACAGATGGTAGTGTATTACTAAAATGAATATTTTCCAGGGGGGAGTGGTATCCCAACTTTTAATAATACATTCCTCAGCATATTTCAGTGTTTAAAAATGAGATTATAACTAGTTCAGAAATTGCAGAAGCTCTCAGAAACATCTGCTTGTGCAGAAGGCAAGCAGTGATAACTGAAGACTACAGTCCATCAGCCAATAATGTACAGCAGAAGTCCTAGGACAGAATGTAGTAGTGTTTTCCAATTTTTTAGTTTTATGACATTCCACCAGATGGCAGTATGTTACATAGAATCACCACAAGGACATGCTGCAGTGCATTCCAAGTTGTATGCATGGGGAAGGAGAGGTATATATTCTATACATGATCATTAAATATGAACATATATGCATAGCATACTGTATTTTAAATAATTTTTATTTTTAAATGATACAAATATTAAAAACTACACAAAATATTTTTAAACACCCTTAGTGCACTCCACCATGACCATGGCTACCTAGTATTTTTTTTTCCTTTCATTTTTTCACTCTTTCTGAAATATCCCCTTCCATCCAAAATTGCAGTACATCCATTGAAGATTTAGTACCCTCCTGTTTTATTATGCATGGCTAATAAATGATACTTTGTTAAAAGCATCCTTCTTTAGCAATTTTTCACCTCTATCTCGCACTTCAATTTATCATTAACCACTATATTCCAAACTTCTCTATACCATTCAATTAATTGGTGATCCCAGTTCTCCTTCCAGTTATTTTTTATTATCAAGTTTGCTGCAGAAACTAAATTTATTATTCTTTACTATTCCATTTCTTTTCACAAACTATTAGCAACAATGCTATTTCAGGGTTTACTTCAGTTTTTGAGTTCAATATCTTAGTAGTCTCTTTAAAAATCATTATCTAAAATTTCTTAATATTTTCACATTTCCACCACAAATGGAAATATGTACCTGTATTTTGTTCACATCTCCAACATAAATTAGAATATTTATTATCCATATAAAATAATTTAACTGGCATCATGTACCATTTCCATACTAATTTATATTTTTTTTCCTTTAATTGGCATACTTTTAAATATCCCATTTATCCCATTTTCCCCCCAATCATCCTTGGCTATATCCTTAAATCCATGTCCTATGAAATTTTTAAGAGATCATATATATCCTCCCTGTTTAATAAAATCTTACATACCTCCCTTATGACTCCCCCTTGTTTGCATTCCTTCTTGCATCTCCCTATTCATCACAATCTCCTCACATTTTGTAAGGTCTCTACACTTACCATTTTTCTGCAACCACTCTCTAGTCCATTGTTCCAACTGCATAACAATAAACCAAGTTAATTTATCTTTTTCAAGTAATGCTATTAGCCTTTCTTTATCCATTTTTTCCATCCAGTCTTTTACCCTAAGTATTTGTTTTTCTGTTAATACGTTTCTTAAACTCTCAAGTTTTCTGCAAATCCTCTAATCTCTGTAACTGGAGTTATTGGTGAAGTATATGACATAAATTCTTCCCTACACTTCTCCCAAATTTGAACATATTTTCTTAACATAGTGTATTTTAGATGAAATATAACCCAGGTTAGAATTTCATCTATCTCAAGAAGAAGACATAATGAAACTGTAAAAGAATTCCATGGGCTTGTTAATAACTAAATTGAATTAATTCTGCAATTATTTGCATGTCTACTTAGAAGTAAACCTTGCTAATTTAATGAGACTTACTCCCAGGTAAGTGTGTCTACTGTTGCAGCCATCCTTGGAACACTGTGTTTCATATTTCTTCACAGGAATATCTACTTCCTTATGTGAAGTTTTTAAGGAATCAATCTTTTTATGTACTTATTAATCCAGAATGGGCTGCAGATAATGGAGAAGCTTTCCACCCAGAGAAAAACCTGTCTGAGGCTTCCAGAACCACACTGGATCTTTAATATAGAGGGAAAGAAGATCCTACAGGATCCCTCTGTGGATGCTCAAATGAAAAAAACAGAGTAGTATGGATTGTAAGCCAGTTCTATCAACTAGTGCCATCAGTGTACATAGGAGAGTACAAAGAGGACAGCTCCCTGGCCCAAGGAGTTACAATGTGAAATGCAACATAGAGGAAACAAAAGAAGATGAGGGATGTGGAGAGGGAAGCAGTAAACAACCATTCTCCTTATATATGCTTAGGCTAAGCACACGATCTGATAGGCATAGGAACCGGTTATATGGCAAATGTTTCATGAAAATGGTGCATGCTTTGAGAATGGATTAGAAAGAATGAGAGGGTCAGAAATTCACTTCAGAATCTGGATACACATTTGGATACACATCACTTTGTGTGATACAAAGCATGTTTCACAGCCTTTTCTATTTCTGGATCAAGCCCAGTGTACACAATTCAAATCACAGTTTTTCCCCATTAATTAGACTTGAGCAAGGTCTATTATGAAAGTCTTGCCCAAAGTCAAATTAGGGTGGCTCATTTTCCTTAAAAGGACACTTTGAAGTAGGGATCTGATCAAATGTTCTCTTGAATTTTTCCACTGGAAATCTTCCAATGGAAATTTTTCCATTTCTCCACTTTTTAAATGTTATTTTGCTTTGTTTTTATGCAGCTGCTGCAAGTGGCAACAGCTGCAAATGTCTTGGCAACCTTGTCACAATTATGCATCCTTCACCATGCCCTATGCCTAGGGTCCATCTGGGAATTGGGCAAGCAGGAGAAGGAAGGGCCAGCACAAAAATGGTGGACATTTTTTTCTTTCCATTATATCTCTCACCATTGCTTTGCAGCAGTTCAGGCTACCTGCACTTCCTGACCCAAAAAAGCCCCGTGACAGGAATTGTGTCTTCTTCAGAAATTGGTTTGAAGAATGTAAGGCTGCCAGAGAGATGAGTGTACAGTGAAAAGCAGAAAACTTGTGCACATGGTTTGTAAGATATGCAAAGGTTTTCTATGCACACACAGCATAAGTATGATGACACTGACCAATTCCTTTGGCATTTTCTTCTCCTTTGAATTTATTTTCAGTGTCTTTTCTATTAGACTGAATGAGAATGGCCCAATGTGGAAGAAATTTTGACAAGGGACTAATATGAAGGGCTGCCTTCACATTGCCTATCAACAGTTGGCATGTGGACCACATATTGAATAAGACACACTTTCACACTATGGAAAGAGGCACTATATTTCTGTTTACATTAGAGGAATAATTTATCAATGCATCTATTAACATAAATTAGCATGTGCAAATGTTATTCATCTTCTTTTCTGGAAATTCAAAGTGGACCATGGTACCTGAGATATTAACTAGCAAAGCCAGAAATTCAATTAGGCCCTTATTTTTTTCTCTCTCTCTCACCCTGTTTCCCACCTTTCTGTCTGGAAAAGAAGATGACACATGAAGTGTTCAGTATACAAAGAGATGTATATGCTGTTCTGCATACATATGTTAGAGCAATCCACTTTCCCACTTTCCAATCCACTTTCCCATTGCAATACCTGGTAGCCCTTGAAAAACCACTGCTGATCACCAGAGGTCCTTCATTTATGGCATACAATACAGAGGATGAAGCTGGAGAGAACATAAGAAGAGACCTGCTGCATCAGAAGGAAGACCTACCTAGCTCAACAATGCTGTTCCCAAAATGACCAACTAAATGGGCCAAACTTACAAATAGGCAGAATGAAGTGGTTGCCTCAAGCAGTAGATTTTTGGCTTCTTGAATTAACTTACTGATTTATTATTCCTGTATTTTGACTCTCAATGATGAGAGTCATCGTAGCGTTAAGGAAGACACCGGTGAAAAGTCCCCTTCCCAAAAATACTTTCTGCAATAAGAGGAGAAACCAGTCTCCAGCAGAGAGGAAAACATTGCCATGGGGAAACCTAACTAGATACACAGCTGGGATCCATAGTTCCATGTATGAATGCAAACCAGTTGCATACATGTTGGAAATGCTGATAATCTGGCATGCAGATTAAAGGCTATTGGGAGCTGGCTGTCACAATGGCTATAAATTATCTCATGTTTCAAAGGCAGCTTGCTAGTTGCTGAAGAACATGATGGGGGAATGGCATTGCACTGATGATTATTTGTGGGCTTCCAAGTTCAGCCCAAGGTATTTGCTACCTGGACTGAACCAGCAAATGGCGCTACCTCTACTGCACTCATCAAGGTACAGAGTGCCCAAGGCCAGCTACATTATTTTGATATTTGAGGCAGAATATCCATCGTCACCTGATGCAGAGTTCGTGACCTCAGTAAAATGTTTTCTTAAATTTTTGTTCACAATCCAATTTGGTCGTGAACTGAGGCATTCGTGAGCCAAGGTTACCACTGTATTTTGCCATATGTCAGTGGGGTGGGCCATTACCCCAGACGCTTCTGGGAGATGCTGATACTTTTGCATCAAAAATATGCTGGGGTTAATAATATTTATTTTATTCTTTCAGGTGTATCAACACAAAAGGGGGCTTGCAAAATAAAATAAATGTGATATATTTCATAGAATCAGCAAACAAACAAAGACTATTAGCAAGCACCAGCAACAATTCAAGAAAATTAAGAAGAATTCAAGTACAATTAAAGAACCAGTGTGGTTGTAGTGTTGGGCAGGAACTCAGGAGACCCAAATTCGAGTTCCCTCTCAAGCAGAAAGCTCATGTGGTGACTTTAATCCAATCATGACTTTAGGACTAAGCTGCCATAAAATGGAGAGAAAGAAGAACATATATGTTACCTTTGGTTCCCTATAAGAAGAAGAAAGGCAGGATACAAATGTAATAGATAAGTAAGTTTGTCATCAAAGATCAACTAAGCTAAGAGTAAGTCCCAGTGAACTCAGATGTTATTACTGAGTAGATGTGTATACCATTGCATGATCAATGTCTTGGAGAAATCAAGTTTTCTCTTAATGTGTAGAAAAACAATAACTGCATCAGTGCCTGCCAAATTATTCTGGGAAGAGAATTCCACAGATGGGATGCCACCTCACAAGCATATT